TCTGATATATTATATGAACACAAAAATTGTACCTACGCAATGGTGTCTTGCAGAATAGAAGTTATGAGCTATCAAAAATTATATTTCTCATAAAAACTGCTGGTAACCTTATAATATTAGAACCGTGCGTGTTCTCATTAGAAATTAAAAATCTTTGAACTGATTTTCTCATACAAACTCATTTGATACATTTTGGATTGAGCATGCATTGTCTGATTGAAACTAGTAAACAGATTCCGCATAAAACCTCTTGTTTTATTATTATCATCATATAACAACTGTCAATCATTGTCATTAATCCTCATAAGATCCAATAATATATATTTTGAACTTGAAAATATTGTACTATTGAAAACTCACACAAACTTATAGAAAACATTTTATATTGGACTTGAACTGTCTGATCCAAACTCGTGAATCATCATGAAAAAACTCTGCGAAAAAGCCTCTCGATATATACTAGAAGTCATAACTATATATCCTCATCAACCCTCAAGAAGTCTATAACACATTATATCCTTAGCTTCAGCATTGTCTTCACAAACCTCGAAAACATACACATCTCATTCAAACTCATTAGATACCATTTAGATTAGGCATGTATTGTCCTATCTAAACTTGTGGATCCTTATACAAAAATTCTGCATGAAACCTCTCAACATACCATTGAAGTCATAACTGTATATCCTTATCAACACTCATGAATTCTGGAACACATACAGCCCCAGCTTGACCCATAGGATTCGTTTCATTTGAAATCAGTATTGTCTTTTCAAACTACAAAAATCTTCAGAACATACACATCTCATACAAACTAATTAGTTACCATACAGATTAGACATGTATTGTCTTATCAAAACTCGTGAGTCCCAATAACGCATCATTCATTTCAACGTATGGATACAGTCATAACGGTGAATCCCTATCAACTCTCATGAATCCTTAAACAAACATCTCCTCATGAGATACATATCTCATAAAAAATAATCAGATACATTTCGAATCAGACATGTAGTGTCTAATCTAAAATCTTGAATCCTTATACAGCAATCCCGCATGAAACCTCTCAAAATACCATTGGAGTCATAATGTTATACCCTTATCAACACCCATCAGTTTTGATACACATCAAGCCTCAGCATGACCCATACATTCCGTTTCAAATCAGTAATGTCTTTTCAAACCCCAAAAATCCTCAGAACTAACACATCTCATACAAACTTATTAGATACCATTCAGATTAGGCATGTATTGTCCAGAATTCTTAGACAGAAATAACGCATGAAACATCATAACATACGAATACAGTTATAACGGTAAATCCTTATCAACACTCATGAATTCTGGAACACATCTTACCTCAGCTTGACTAATAAGATACGTTTCATTATAGATCAGTAATTGCAATAAGAAATCTCGAATACTTGAAACCACATATACCACATACAAGCTCATCAGCAACCGATAGAATCATGGCAGCAGTTCCCTTTTGAATATCATAATTTATCGAACACTTTTCACCCTCACAAAAACCCATGAAATACGTTAAAGATTATATCTATATTGTCTTTTAAAAACTTATGATTACTCAATAATTATTTACCGGATTCAAGCTGATAATAAACCTATAACTTTAGAACCGTGTTTTCATATTTGAGCTCATAAACCTAGAAACTAGTTGTCTTATAAACACTCATTGGACACATTTCAGATTAGGCATTCATTGTCTAATTGAAACTCGTAAATTCTCAGTTATTCTGAGTCACATGAATGCTTATAGAAATCGCATTAAATTAGATAAGGAATTCCTTAGTGAAACTCTAAAATCCTGATATATTTTTTTCCTGACGATACCCAATAGAATTCTATTTGTAAATTCCTACACATTTCTCATATATACTAAGGCGCATGAATGTGCATAGAATACTTTTCCAATTGGAAGTGGAATATCTTATTGGTGGTCATAGGCTCCTCAAACCACTTGTGCCTGATAAAAACTCTCATACTCCATATTTGTATACGCTTATAAATCACATATACTCATGAAATATCATTAAACCTTTTAGAAAGTTCATGTGCCAAAGATAATGTACTCATACGCTACAGAACTCGGTTATATATCCTTATTAATACTCAAATTTTATCTATATTTCTTCATGAGACTTCATAAGGTATTTTTGGCAGGGATATCAGGTGATCTTATACTTTTATAAACACCCTCATATGCTATTAGGAACAATCAAATTGTTAATAATTGTCAATTGGGCTCTAAGATGTCATTACTCAAACGCAGGCCCAGATCACCCATAAAGGTGAGTTCACAATGCGGCGTTTTTGCTTTAAGCGTCAGGCGTCATGCAATCTGATTGGTAACGTTGAATTCGAAAAATATTTGACGCGATAGAAGTTGAAATAATGTAACTTTTTGGCGTTGCTGCTTTGTGCTGATTAATTTGAATGGTCATTTAGCTACCTAATAGGTTATGTACCAGAAATGTTATCATTCATTACCGTCCCTTTTAATGCAAGGTTTTCCATGAAAATGAACGAGTTTTTAATGCTAATCCATATCTCAGAGGGCGGCAAATCTTCGCAAAGAAAATTTCCGAGAAAATTATCCATATATGTACAGGCTGGAATACGAGCCACATGATTGGGATATCGTAAACCGTAAGAGATACAGGGTCGGTTAAATTATGGCAAAGTTGCACGATTTTGTTTCAAAATTCGGTATAAAAATTTGAAAAATTCCGAATTCCCAGAGATTTGTAACTACTTTTTTCATGACTCTATTTGAATGGATGTACCAAAACAAATCATACATGCTCATTGCTACTTTTTGTGTTCTACAAGATAGTGTTATCAGATTTCCAAACCGACGTTTCGTCTTTGAACTGCCAACTTTGTTTCGCTGATTACGGCCCTGTATTTTTTATTATGGATTTTAAGAGCTCTCAATCTCCTGATATCAATGGTGTATTGCACTAATCCGAGAAAGTTTTTTGTTTTTATCCCTATTCAAAATGTATTCTCTGTCTCTATAGAACACATGGGCTCTAATGGAAAATGTCATTAATATGAATTATTCGAATAGCTGCGATACACCGTTGATTATGGGAAATCAGTAGCTCTTAAAATCAGAAATGAAAAATATAGGGCTGTATTTAAAGAAACAAAGTTGATGATGGCAGCTCAAAGACAAAACGTCGGAAGAAGTAGCAATGAGAATGTGTGATTTGTTTTGTTACATCTATTCAAATAGAGTCATGAAGAAATTGTAATAAAATCGTGAATATTCGTTTTTTTTTTCAATAATCTTTGGAAATATTCGGAACATTTTTAATTCCAAATCGGCATTTTGTTAGTCATTAAATTGTGCAACTTCCATAATTTAACCGACCCTGTATCTCTTATTATTTACGAAATCCCAAACATGAGACTCGAATTCCAGCCACCCTGTACATATTATAGATATCTTCGGTGTTTCGAAATATTCCATTCCTTCATAAAGACATCGACTTGAGTGGTGGTTACTTAAATGAAAAGTATTAAAAGCACATCATAGTAAAAAAAAATCAGTCGGTCACTATTTATACAGGTTGTTTCGAAATTCGACCGATAACGCTTGACAGGTGATAGCCCTCATGATTTCAGGGAAATACGGTCTTCAAATGTTCAGTTCTCGAGATACAGGGTGTTGAAGTTTAAAAATAAAAATTATTTTCTCACAATACCTCAAGAATGATTGAATATTTTGCAATCAAATTCGGTATATTGTTTCATCTTCGAATGGGCCATTTTCTGACTAAGAAGTAGTTTTGGACATTTTATCCAGTGGTGCGCTGCAGGGGTTTGTGGTTACTTTTCCTCCCATATTTTCTACGCCACTGATGAAATTTCGATTATTTTCAACTTCTCAAATTCATTGTTCAATTTTGTTCAAGAAATGCATCTCCTTCAACTGAGCTGAGTTTTCTAGATATTCAACCCAAAATAGATGTTTGTATAGTGATTTTTCATATCTTTCAGTAGTGCATGAAAGGATAGGGAGAGGAGGTTAGTGTTGGATTTTTTTTTACTCCCATTGTCGAAGAATTCCAACGTTTCGCTGTTCCATAGACAAACGAGTTTTAGTGAAGGGTTATTCGACATATTTCAAGGATATGTATACAACTACTCAAGTTAATGCCTTGATAATGAAATGAAATATTTCGAAACCTCGAGGAAAATATATGTTCAAGCTATTTCTCTAAATACGTTGCCTATATATTCTATTTGTGATTGCCTGAGTTTGTTGTTGATTTTCAATATATTCCATATCAGTATGTTCCTTCATAATATGATTTATAGAAGTAGTACCTAACAAAACATCTGTATTCGAGGGGCGGCAAAATATATAAACTGTATCGGATGAAACGGTTAAAAATCATGGAAAGATATGTCGAAAATTCAAAAAAATCATTCAAGATGGCGCTCATTTGTCATTTCAGAACTTAAAGCTGTAATTCTTTACGTACAAAAGTAGGTTTCCATCTCCTATTTGGCCCTCCAAATTTCGTCAAATTCAGAACAACTAATAGAACTTTAGACTGTATGTTACGGACTTTATAGAAGACACTGTACATAGATTGTCGCTTTTGTAAAAAATAAACGTACTTCACTGTCGAGCAGAACTATACATTTGTCAACAAACCTCGTTTTTATTATTAATCATCAAACTCTTTGACTTTTGGTTACATATAAGTTACCACCTTGTAAGAACTATATGCACTCGAAAAAAAGAGTATCGGAACTTCCTTGTCGATAAATATTCAAAACATTCCGGAAATTTTCAAGTATAGGTAATTTAGTTGTCCACTCAATAATATGCAAATGTTTGATTTGTATGCTTTTTTCTTCTCAAGAATAAAGCTCAATAGGAAAATAACTCACGACATAAAAATGAATCAAGAGATCCGCTGAAAACTGCATCTCATCGGCACATTCTTTCAGTTTTCCAGCAGTTTGAAACGAATAGCAACGGAAGATTCATGTGCCCTCAGTGTCCCTCCTCCTATAAGCAGAGGGCCCATCTGAAGAGGCACCTCATATACGAGTGCGGAGTGGAACCGAAATTCAGGTGTCATGTTTGCAACAGGAGATTCAAACAAAAGGGTCATCTCAAGTCTCATCTCCTGATGGTACATTATTGAGGGTGTTGTTATCCGGTATTGTCCCAGTCGGCTTTATAACCAGCCATGGTGAGGGAAATGCAACACTGCATCGCCGTGATCCGAAAGTCCTACTCTCGACCGTCATCTGAACACGGAATGATATACAGGGTGTCCTATAATTAGCGTGCAATACTTCACCAGCAGATCAAACGATTGCAAATATGAAAAAAAAATCCTATAAACATAGGTCGAACAATGTCTCATAAGCGAGCTACAGCCCCCTGAAACTGTTGATAGCAGAACTATGAAATTCTGCTAATCGGCCAATCTTTTTATGCCTAATAATATGCGATAATAATAATTTGAAAATTCCATCCAGAAATGGGTCAAACTGTAGGGGGTGGGGGGTTGAAACACCCCAAATTTTTTTATTGCGGTTTTTTTCGCAACTTCAGCATGAAATTATGAAACTTTGAAGCCTTTTGCATGAAAAAGTTCCTCGTGTTCAACTTCGATAGGAAGCACCGTTCTCGAGTAAAATCGATTTGAAAATTACTCCACATGTCATGAAAATTCGAATGAAATCAGAAAAATTCTAAGTTTGAGGAAGTCTATGCACAACCAGTATGTTTGAGCATTGTCGATCTAAATGAAAAACTACCTAACTAGGTAGAACGACAATGGTTTGGGAAAAAACAAAAGTCAGTTGACATGAAAATTCATGAAATAAGTGACAGAAGCATTGTAAAGTCATTTAATTTATGGAAAAATACATATCAAAATATGAGTGACATTTTTCCCACTCAAATAATTATTGTTCTTCAATTCATGGAAAAAATGCTTATTGAAATAATCTGGTCGACATTTTTTCCAGTCGAGTAATAATTGTTCAAAGTGGCTTCCATTTTGTTGAACGCATAGTCGGGCCCGACGACTCATAGCTTTGAACACAACTTTCAAACCTCCTGTCACATGTATCTGTCACCTGCCTCGATTGTTTTTCCAAACATAGTTGTCGTGTTCCATAGCCTACGTCAAAATTTTTCATTTTTGTAAATTCATTATGAATTTTTATGACGTGAGGTAGTTTCCGAATCAGTTTTACTCGAGAACGGTGCTTCCTATCGAAGTTGATCAATAGGTACAGGGTGATTCACCATGAATGTTCCCCCCTCTAGCTCACTTGTTTTCGAACCGATTTAAAAATTTGAAAGATTATTCAAAATAATTTTTCAGAATTCTTTTTCCCGTTGCATCAGAAAATACAGGGTGCTCGAAACAAATGATCTACAGAGTACTACTTCATTTTTTCAAATGGAACACCCTGTATTTCATTGTATTTTTAGATTCTTGCTGAAGAGCTGATTTCATCAATGTATCACACTTGGGGTCTTGCGGCAATGATTACAGAGATATAGGGTGTTCAAAATCGAGATTTTTCTAGTCTCGAAACTATTCATTATTGGTCGAAACGGCTCCTATGTTTCCATCTTAACTTTTGATTTACTGTCTACTGACATTTCATTTGAACATTTACAGGGTGGTTCAAGATTCAGAATTTTGATATCCCGTAATAGTTCCAATTATTAAATATCAGAAGATAGTAAATCAAAAGTTAAGATATGAACATGAAAGCCGTTCTGACCGATGATGAATAGTTTCGTCTCAAAAATATCCTAAAGTTGAAAAATCTCGATTTCGAACATCCTATATCTCTGTAATCATTCCCGCTAGACCCCAAATGTGATACATTGATGAAATCAGCTCTTCAGCAAAAATCTAAAAATACGATGAAAAATAGGGTGTTCTATATAAAAAAAAACAAATAGTACCCTGTAGATCGTTTGGTCCGAGCACCCTGTATTTTCTGATGCAGCGGAAAAAAACTTTATCGAAAATCATTCAAGATGATATTTCAAATTTAGAAATCGGTTCAAAAATAACTGAACTAGAGGGGGGGACATTTATGGTGAGTCACCCTGTACTTTTTTATGCAAAAGGCTTCAAAATTTTACAATCTCATGTTGGAGTTGCGAAAAAACCGCACTAAAAAAAGTCGGGGTGATTTTACCCCCCTCCCTCCACAGTTTGACCCATTTCTGGATGAAATTTTAAAATTATCATTATCGCATATTATTGGGCATGAAAAGATTGGCCGATTTGCAAAATTTCATAATTCTGCTATCAACAGTTTCGGAAATAGAAAATAAAAACCATCTTTAGGGTACCACCTTCAAGGGGCTGAAGCTCGTTCATGAAACATTGTTCGACCTATTTTTTTAGGAGCTTTTTTTCATATTTTTAATCGTTAAATCTGCTGGTGAAGTATTGCACGCTAGTTATGGGACACCCTGTATGTCCCGAACGCATGTGAAATCATTGTAGTTTATCGAAAGGCACCTGTGCCAATTACTATCCTGAACAAAATGCTTTCATGAACCTACCTGTGCCATACCCCTCAGTCTGAGCCAAATCCACGATTAATTTGCTGCTATTATTCCGGACACCTACGTCATGTGATAACGAGTTGAAACAAATAGCAAATGAAAGGGAAAAATGTCCCTTTTGTTAATATCCAAACGTGCCGTGATTCAAACTGAGCTGAGTTAGTGTCAAAGCGTCAATATTTTCGTGAATATTTCGCCCTCGTCGAAAGATAATACCCGATGGACCAGTGTGGAACTCTTGTGGTGCTCACACTACAAGTATTCTAATCCACATATTCAGTTCCACACTGGTCCATCGAATATTATCGATTGAATCAGGGTGGTCCGTTTTTTAATACGGAAAATTCAACAGCGTATAGTACTCGTTGAAATAATAAAAAAACTTCCTATAAACATATACTTTTAAACGCTTCGTTTTTGAGATATTGGGTGTCAAAAATACGCTTCTGAATATATTTTTTCAATCAAAAGTTAGAAACGGTAGATAAATTAACGAAATTTTTCACGAATACTACACTTTTTGAGCTTTATTAGATTAAATAAAAATTATTCATAAAAACTATTCAGTGGTGGCTGAATCTGCGGTGGCGAAGGTAATATAGTTACACAAATGTTTCGGGTAATTATTTTTCATTTATTTTTCAAGTTTCAATGAAAAAAGCTCGCTTGTGAGATTTTATAACATTTTTTAGTTAAATAATACTACTTGATATCAATTAAAGAAGTAGGGTATGTTCAGTTGCTCACTGTTCACTGTTTATATGTGCTGTCACTCTGAAAGTTCTGTCAAAGAAATAACAAACTAGAGTTATTCCGTGTTTTTATCAAAAAGTGTAATAATTTTATTCTAATTTTGCCGTTTGTCAATATGCCTATGGGATTTAGTACTGAAGAGTATGCAGATATTCATTTCGTTTACGGATTTCGTAATGGAAACGCAGAGGCAGCAGTTCGGGAATACAGAAATCGCTTCCCTAGGAGGAGGGTACCTAATGCACGAGTCTTTATCAATACTCACTCACGTTTTCGTCAGTTTGGGTTACGTGGCAATAATGAATAATACCGAAATAATGGCCCACTGAGAAGAAATGAAAACAATCACATTCTTAGATTTTTTTGATGTTAATGTTGATTTTGGTTCACTTTTTTCGTTTAATACTAGTTATCAGTTTATACTATTGCACGCATAAATGAAAGTAATAGTTCCGACTTTTTTTCAGGTTTCAAAATCGAACATTTTACGAACACTACATTTAGATCACAGGAAGCCTTTTCATTTGATGCCGGTACAACATTTACATCCTAAAGATCTTGAGAAGGGAGTGTCTTTTTCGGAATTTATCATAAATAAAGTGAACAACAATAACGACTTCTTACATAAAGTCTCATGGACTTGAACACCCTATATCTCGAAAACGAAGCGTTTAAAAGTATTTGTTCATAGGAAGTTTATTTATTATTTCAACGAGTACTATACGCTATTGAATTTTCCGCATTAAAAAACGGACCACCCTGTATAACTACTATAAGAAGTGTTATAGTGTTGTATTTTTGTATTGTATATTATATGTTTGATTGTTTTATAATAGAATAGGCTATGACGATACAAAACTGTGATTATGAGGACTTAACAAATTCTTGTGTTCTAATACTTGTTCACTGATACATTTTAATTTCATACAAAGTGTTTGTCAATAAGATCATGTATCTTGGACAATAAACATATATTCTCTCTCTCTCTCTATCTCTCTATTTTTGTACTGAGAAGCTGCTAGTAGCAGGATAATTAATGGACACGCTGTTATAGATGATCAAGTGACCGATTATAAAAAAAAAATGTGTCCTGAATGATGAATTATGAGGGTATCCCAGTCACAGATGACGAATGATCACGTCACTGTGACGTCCCTAATTGGTGATTTTTCGTCAGAGACGTCACACACCAATTTATGACGTCACTATGACGTACTTTCTATGACGTGATAATCACTTCATCAATTCGACGTCGAGTGAACGTCACTTAGAGGGGTAAAATAAGACGTCAGTTTCATGACGTTGCAGGGACGTCCTGTCGACGTCCATTTTGCCCAGACTTTCTCTAAACAATGGATACTTATATATTATCATGTGGAACAGAAGTATAACTCATGAAATCAAATCAACATGCAAGTTTTATTCTAATTATTAATATAACCGAAGAGTAGTAGAAAAACTTTTTTCTCAAAAACTTTGACACACTGTATATCTCGGAAACCAACAAGCTATGTATATATGAGAATGATTGTTTAGGTATACCTATATTGAAACCGTCACTCTTATGACGTTGCAGTGACGTATCTATGACGTCTAAAAATCACGTCGGTGTGATGTACAAAATTTGGTGAGCTTTGTCATCTTGGAAATTCTTCAATAATTTGCTATTTAGATTTTTGTTGGGTGACAAAGCATTTATTCACGTCATTATCACGTCAATGCGACGTCAACTACTGACGTCATCAAGTGACGTGAAAAAGACGTCACTGCAACGTCATCTGGTTGCCTGAGATGTTGTCAAGGAATTCGAACCTTGTAACGTATTGCTATATTAAATACTGATTTTAATTAGTTTTGTAGTTTTCAGAGATCAGCAGTTCGATACGGACGGAAATGGAAGATTTTTGTGCCCCCAGTGTCATGTGTCCTACAAGCAAAAAACCAATTTGACTAGACACCTCAAACACGAGTGTGGCATTGAACCCCAATTCAAGTGCAATGTTTGTTTCAGAAGATTCAAACGGAAATGCCATCTGAAGCACCACGTTCTCATGTTACATACAAATATAAA